ACAACTTGAAATGATTTTACAATGAAAATTCTACAAGGAAATTTCCCTCAAATGATTTGTCAATCATCATGATCATTGATCATTGATCAATCACTGACCATTAAGTGAGTAAGACGTGTTTTCAATCCGTTCCGTGACAAGTGACAGTCAAAATGTCAGTGTAATTTGAACATTTCGGATATGACCAAAACACACAGATAATAGGCAGTCCCAACCCTAAATTCACAGCTGACAGGAGAAAGTATTCTCCTTTTTGTGCATAACTATAAAAAGTGAGGGAAATGAGTTCCTTTCAAGAGATGTCCAGCACAACCAACGTTTCAGACAATACTAATTATTCAAGCTCCCCCAGTGAACTACAGAGATGTTATTCGTGGCGTCTTGCAAGTGATTTCCATCCAGACAATGAACGTGCAATTCTCATCGACTCAATCCAACGAGTTACGGTAAATGATACATTCGCGAATCCATCGGACGCCAACATGTCTTTGACATATCCAAAATCTCGGGGAATTGTGTATGTGTGTATGTGAAATCTATTGGGTTTCTTGGCCGACCGACTCGCCCTCGGCCCGAGTTAGCAATTAACAGCAATAAACTAATAATGAGGCCTCTCGTTCTAAAATCATTACCATTGTCATTGCCACACAATATACTCGCAAATCGGCTTAACGAGCTTGGAGTAAAACTATTATCAGCGATTTATTATATTAAGGCAGCGTCTAAAACTCCGAACATGTCATAAGTTTTCGTACACAGGTAGTAATTGATCCTCTAGCATCTACAAACTTCCGAAGATCATTAAAATTAGCTGGAACAATTTTGATTGTACGACTTACCAATCCACGGATAGCCCAGTCTGTCTCAACTGCAGAAAAAAAGGGCCCTATGCTAAACAGTGAACGCAGGAAAGCGAATCTTCCTATCCTCTGTAGATATCCGTAGAAGATGTATCATACAATGAGGACCCACCATGCTTGGACACCCAAGAGTGCGACGAGGAGGAAATCTGAGCTGTAACCCCTACCCATTTGCACGCCGATTTCCTGGCACTGCCTTTCTCTGGAAACCATAACAAATATACCGACATAGAAATCGAGAAATCTTTGTACTCAGAACGTTCACGGGTCGACGAAAACGGCTCTCACACTGAGGAAGACAATCCGGAATCCTTTGGAATCCGAAAAGGAATCCTGGAATCCGCAAAGGAAAACAAACAAATGGTGGAATAGCAATAATTTACAGAATTCATCTCAACAATAAAATACTGGAGAACGTTGTAGATCCCCATCTAACGGTTCAGATCCTTGGAATTGAAATAGCAAACTTGATGCAACCACTCACCATTACGCCTGCTACAGAATTCTAGAAATAATCCTGCACCTCGACTACTGTGCGGAACATGTCTTTGGTCACTCAGCACGTTCGAAATAGCATACTTGAGAGAGAATTCAATGCACATCATGTATCGCAGAATTGCAAAGACAATGATTATAGTGGTGAAAAATTTCTGGAATGTATTCAAGCGGAAAACTTGCTCTTACACAACCCTTCCTCAGTCACACATTTAGATGCATACAGAAATAAACACTACAATCTGGATCTTGTCCTATCCATCCTAGACCTCGCAGATACAGTGGAAGTTAATGATGAAACCTGGGGTTCAGTATTCATATAACTCTCAACCCAAAGAAACATATACCATAAACGATCATTAAGAATCACATCCGAGACAGTGCCTGGGATAAATTACACAGGCTAGTAACAGATCTATTTTAGCAGTTTATTGACAACTACTTTCTCATTTAGTTTCCTTCCAATCAATACAAGATGTTTGTCGACCTACTCACCCAACGTGTAAAAGAGTCTACCACCGAGAGAAAAACAGTTTCTCCCCGGATACATAGAAATCTCATGATATGGTGGGATGATGAATGCGGAAGGGCAGAGCGTCTTGGGCGAGCGACATTTAAAAAGTGAAGGTTCTTGAAAGCCCTCGACAATCTTACAGACTGTAATAAACCAGTTGCATATGCAAGAGAATTATTTAAATCTAAAAAAAGACTGAAGTTCATAGCATTTGCGGAGAGTACTGCACTGTCGCGCACTCTTCTTCTAAGCGAGCGCTTTACATGAACAGCAACATCCTCGTAATCATGGAAAAAATTAATCGATCCATCGACAAATAGGAAGACAAATAAAAAATTGATAATGAACACAATCATGCATTGTCAATCTCTTTTATGATAAAGGAAGCTGATCGAATTTTAAACAACGGACATCTGATATTTTTTTCAATTTTTAATGAAATAATTATTGATCATTAAGGTGACTAAGAAAGAATCAATTACAGGCACCATACTGTTTTAACACTTACCCCCGGCACAACTAATAAATTTTCAAATTGAATTGGTGGAAATTAAATTGAATTTTTCAGCAGTAAGATTTTTCAAAATTTGAGGGAAGCGCGCGGCGCTTTCTCTGCCTAAGTTTGCCCCCTTCTTCGTGCACAAACTTCCACTCCCACTCGGACGACGCTGGGCCTCACGCAATTGCAGTATTGTAGTCCGAATATTGGGACTAATAGGGTTTTATGGTGGGGGCTCCCGAGGTTCCGACTTAGTCCATGTCTGATTTAGACCAGGGCTCGGCAACCTTTAGGTAGCCGGGAGTCATCCTATTACTAGGGTCAGGATAATCTTCAAATTCTAATGGGCACCCAATTAACCCACCTTTTGTCTTGCGAATAAGTCCTACTGTAGACGACGAGGGGCCATTCATTTATGAAATCACTCTGTCACTTTGGGCTGAAATCATGTTTGAAATAACGTGATATTTCACCAAATCGGTCGAAGTTACTTAAAGTCAGAGAAATCCTGGGATTTCATCGATTTCAAGTGACTTCAAATCAAATGACATGAAATCCGTGAAATTGATGGAAAATGAAGAATTATTTGCTAAAGACCTGGGTGGTTTAGATAATTTTGAGGGTGCAAATGGTGAAAAAGTACGGAATGCAGAGGATACGATTGACTCAGAACAGAAGAGTTGACAGAATTGTTGAGAGAAATCTTTCTGGTGTTAAAGAACCCCTAGAATTCAGAAGCGTTAACAAGGCGAAAACTAGTCTGTCTCCCGAAAACCCATTTATTATTGTGATACGTAAGTCAGGTACAACGTCTGTAATACGTTAATCTTTATTGGGTTGGTTTTTCTCAGTTGAGAGACAAAGGACATTTTCAGTTGAGCTCTAATCGATTAGAAAGAGTGTAAGAGGCTGAATTGACGAAATACGAAAAGAAGAGGAAGATCTCAAACATTGAAAATGTAGGGACTGGAATTTTGGCATGAATGGCCTCTCGGGTTAAGATATTCCAAGCAGCCACGCATAGAGGTGTGCGAGTCGAACAAAAAAGGCTGACCCTCCAAGATTGGCGCCAAATTGCAGTTTAATACAAAATTGAAAGATAGAAATTTGCAATCAAATTTGAAATGAAAAACCTCGGAGAATACATTTCGGAAATGGTTTTCGGCCATTGTTTTTCTAATTCGACATTATTTGAGTTCATTTTTATTAGTACAATTCCACCGTTTAGATTTCCAAGAAATCCACATTCATTATATTATAGTGCATCTTGTACATTGCTTTTTTCAATAAGTACCGTCATTCATCGAACATCTCGGACATATTAAACGCAACATAATTATTAAAGGTGATTCCTCATCATGGAAGCATTAAAAATATTTCTTGCTCCGTATAGCCGCATAAAAATAATTTACATAAAAAATTATATTTACATTTTAAATTGATAGACACAAAATTCCCCCTCAAACGCACGGCCGCCCTCTGTGGGTATCTGTTGAACCAGGCCTCGAGGAGGGGGAAAAATCGAATTAGAGCCAGTAGCTGCATCAACTGAATGAGGCCCATCTCCCAGCTCTCGCTAACGAACTTCGGGCGCCGCGTGAGCCCAATGAGCCCAGGTTACAGTAACGACAACTATTGTAACGGTTAATAGAATTAGAGCAAACCGCTACCACCTAGCAGCATCTCTAGCAAGAACAGGCATAATTCCGGTCAGAGTTGCACTTGCGATGCTGAACTGCAGGACATTGATCATGTACTGTGGCATTGCCCCTTTACATTCATCAAAGGGAGGAATTAATAAAGAAATTCAGGGAGAAAAACTGTTGTCCACCTTACACAACCGTAAAACTAGCTGACACAACGGATTTTAAATATATTGAACAATTAGGCAATCACCTAACAGAATCTAATCTAAATGTGTAATATACCGTTTCTCTCAAAAATTAACATGACATGACCCCCCCTTCCTTCCTCCCTCTCTCGTTCACCTAACCATGATTCTCCAATAATCTACCATTAACAATTGTCCTGTTGAAAAGAATTTTCAATAATTTTAATAATTTTATACATTCCCCAGCCCCTAAATAAACCTGTTTTCAGCGTTTCTGCCTCTTCGAAAAACGAATCTCACAAATCTTACATTAATATTCGAGGGCACAGAAAATGAGAATCTCGATAATACAGATGCTTATATATTATGCTGTACCTCCATCCCACCGTCGATTAGTTCATTCTCATCACAACTGGATCGTTATGGCCATAGTGCACTTGAGACTATAATGTCAAAAACAAAATGAGTTGCGAATCAATTTTTAGTCACATATGTATGGGACATTTCATACAAGTATTATTATCTCATTATCACGTCCTTTTTAATGGCACACCATATGTAAAGCACTCCATATATATTCTTTCCTTCTCGGACTCTCCAATAAGGTCGACGCTAACATAACACAAACTAGTTTTTCAAGTATAGAAATCAAATAATCAGTCAATCGTCAATTATTCGTTGATTTTCTTCAGTAATAATCGAGTGATGCTCTCTCTGTATGGGTGATGTATTATGATTTATATTATCGACTATGGCAACTCAGATGGTTTCATTAAAACCGAAAATCTCAAATTCACTAACCTTGCGGACTGCTGAGAAAATATTCATGTTCATAGTCTCTTCGACAAATTGGCTGCCCCTGCCGTACAACATAATGGGCTCCTCTTGGTAAAGTTTGTCCACACATGCAGCAAGCGAAGCACTCCACGTGAAATATCGAGCTGGCGGTTCTTAGTACAAAGTCGGAACAACTGATTTTTTCCATGCACCGACCGCATTTCACACCATATATTCGTTCATAATCAGCTCGACAATAAAATTTCAAATCTCGCGTGTAGCAAGAGTGTGCTAAAGGTCGCGCACAAGCTGCGCATGCTAAACAATCCTCATGATAATTTCTGTCAGCAACTCTCATTAGAAATCGGTCAACTATTTTTCGCCCACAGGATGCACAAACCGATTCCAGTAATCCGGATTCAGTCTTTACTGTAACTGTACCATCTGAAAAGAGGATAATATAATAATTACAAATTTTGTATACATTTTGCGGACGGGAACAAGAAAACCACTGTCTATGAGGTATTCCACGTCAAGTGAACCAGGCTCTGATTCCGATCCTTTCCAGTATTGAAAACAAATTTTCATATTAGTTAAGAGGCTGCGAAACATTCCTCGAATATTTTTTTAATTTTTGGGGGTGTTATTCTCGACATTTTTTTCAGTTAGATTTTTCTTGGTTTGTGAATAATTCTGGGTCTATGCATCGTGTCTTAACGTGTAAAAATTGTCATTCCTTATTGTTTTACGTACGTTAAAGTCTTGTAACTGGTGATGCTGTTCCGTCCTCCGTTAATCAGGTCATATTTGATCTGACTCCGTTTCTGACTAGCCTCGATACGAGCTCACGGGGAGTTCACCCATTCAGAAATGTTCAGGGCAGGGTTTGTCAGGTTTCTTCCGATAACTGAACACCATGTCTTGTTAGATGGCGACGACCTCGGTCGTCAACCGAGTATTATATTTTTGAGTCTTTTATTTTTTTTTTTGTATTCCGTGTTTCAAGAACCATTCAAATTTAAGTAAGGCCTCTGGGAGACTTCTCTCGATCGTGAGTGTCAGAAAGGAAAAGTAGCAATATTTAGTAAAATGTACTAAACCTATTTGTTTGCGACCAAAAATAGTTATTTTATTAGATTACATTTAAAACTATCAAAATTATTTTTATTAATTTAATCTTTTGGAAATCAGGGGGGCGCTCAGAACGACTCCCACCTCAGCGCTGGAGGCTTTGCTCTTCCTCCAGTCGCCCCACCTTCACGTTAAGGAGGTGGCGCTAACCTCGGCCGCGAGATTACATCTGCAAGGCCTGTGGGAAGGGGCCAGCAGTGGCCATGCGGCGATCCTTATGACGGACAGCAACCTTCGGGGACTGCTGTCAAGGGGAGGAGATGGCTGTGAGCCGCGCTGGCACTTCCAAATGAATTTCACGGTCAACCTTGGAGAGGAAGTAACCCAGCTAGGGGGTGATAAAAAGTGAACGCCACCGAAGGGTCTGGTCTGGTGCACGGATGGCTCCAGAATTGGCAACCGAGCTGGAGAAGGAATTTGGTCGGAAGGACCCTCAACTGCAAGGGCCCTTGCACTGAACTCGCATACAAGCGCGCTCCAAGCAGAGCTTGCGGCCCTTAAGGCCTATGCCAGAGAAATCCTGGACAGGGGGAGAGGGGCAAGAATATATACATCTGCTCAGACAGCAAGCATGCGTTGAGGGCACTGCTCAGGAATGAGAGTTGCTCTTGACTAGTCAACGACTGCACTGAGCTGATGCAGAGGGTTGCTACCTATAATCAGCTGGAAGTGACATGGATTTTAGGTCACGCTGGTATCCTCGGCAACGTGAAGGTCGATGAGCTGGCCAAAAAAGAATGTCTAGAAGTTGCGCCAACAGAGGAGGTCCTGGTGGGTGTGCACATAGACTTTGTAAAGGATATGATTCGGAAACGAGCGGAGAGGGGGGTTGTGGCAAGATGGCACTCTGCGGAAAGCGCTAAGCACACAAGGACCCTACTACGTGAACCTTCGAGGAAGCTGGCTGAGACGCTGGTGGGACTGAACACGGTAAAGTTCCGCTCTCTGATGGGGCTTATCACTGGTCACTGGCCCCTAGTCTCATACTTGGCAACAGTGGGCAGAGGAAGCGATCCCACTTGCCCGGGATGCGGACTAACAGAGGAGGATTCGCACCACCTGAGCACTAGATGCAGTGGTCTTCATGAGATCCGGTGGGATGTCTTCGGGACCACCTGCATCAAAGTAATGTATGTTGATAAGGACGGTATAGAAGAGCTCTACGAATTCGCTCGCAGGACCAACATACTGACACCTATGGACAAGGCGGCTGACGAACGCAAACTTCCAATTTGAATTCGTGCAAACAAGTAAATTTATTATTGAACTCCAACATTTATTACTTTATTGAACAAACATTTATTTACAACCTGGGTTGCTCAGGATGCTAGGTCGTGGAGAGAGGGCCAGGGTCCACGGATACGCGACTATGATAACCGAAATCTAGACAGGGAACAGATCGTGGTTCGGGATACCGAGAGCATACCTGCGGGGTTCGGGGACGCTGAGGGCGACCTCTGAGAACACCTCGCCGAGAGAGCGACGTAAGATAGCAGAGTGCCGGGAGGCCGAGAGCGTGGGGATTACTCACCCAAAAGCACACCATCGAGAGCGTGCCGGGCCCACTAGGGTAGCCCCATATGTAGAGAGCCTAACTGGGGAGAGTACGGCTCTCACCCAGAGAACACCAGGAACAACATGGCCCTCCCTTAGAGAACACTACCCGAGGAGGGTATTGCCCTCACTCAGAGAGTACTCCCGGGGAGAGGATGATCCTCACCTAGACAGCGTAGAAGACCAATGCTGGGCATTGGGAGCCGGCTAAGGGCTCGAGAGAGAGCTGCCAGTGGTCCGCACTGGGAGCCAGCCGAAGCGGCTCTGCCGAGTGAGTCGACAGTGTCGGCAGTAGTGCCGATGCCTCCCCACTCTCGAGTACGGCTGGGGAAACTCCTGTGTGCCGGGACGTGCTGCCCTCGCCGTAGGGAGGATATCCCTGACACTAGCTTCTCATGGAGCGCGCCGTATTCGAACGTTGCCACTGACCCCTTCGAACAACCCCTTCGAAGGATCAGCCGTCCGAATGCCTACCCCATCTAACATGGAACGCTCATACGTCGGTATGAGTCCTATGCTATGTGCCAGGAAGTCTCATAGGGGAGCTGGGAATGTTTCCACGTGTCCGCCCTGTGCTGTTGCCTGTCTTCAGGCCTCCTAACACCCTAAGCCAGAGGTGGGCAACCTCAGGTAAGCTCAGAGCTGCAGCCATAAAATAATTAAGGTCCCAATTATGGGGGACTTGACGCTTTTACAAGGGTTGTCATACATTTGTCGAGTGGGGGTAATATTGGGAGATGGCGCATGCGCGCTATGGAAATTTGAGGGGAAAATGTTGTGAAATTTTCTAACGTGCTTGGA